GGAATCGGGTGCCACCAACACAGATAAAGAAGACAGCATCGACATGATCTTCTGAGCCAAGGGACCCGTGTACAGTTCTGAAAATATTAATAGCTGGGGCAGTTGGAAAATATGGCCTCAAAATTCTTTGTTCCTTCCCTTGAAATCCGGGCGTGCTTGTAACTGCTTTGGCCAGTAGGTTGCACAGAGTGGCATCGTGTGATTTCTGAGGCTGGGTCACTGTGACACTGGACACAGACCTGGAGCTCTGAGCCTCTAAGAAGTCTGACTACTCTGCCTGCCACGCTGTGAAGAAGCCCAAGGCACACAGAGAGGCCAAGTGTGGATCCTCCTGTGATGGTCCTAGCCTTTGAGTCTTCCCAGCACGGGCTCCAGAGCCAGCCTTCGATGATTCTGGCTCCCAATCCTCAAGTCTGTCCAGCTAGGCCCCAGACATGGTGGAGCAGAGACAAGCCATCCCTGTTGTTCCCAGTCTGGATTTCTGACCCACAGATTCCATGAGTATAATAAAATGGTCATTTTAAATTTGAAGTTTTGGAGTAAATTGTTATGCAGCAATGATAACCGGAAACAACAGTTTAAACTATTGAGGGATAATTGATTTAAGCACCTTATGTGTACTTACAACTGCCTAATGAGTAGGGATTATTAAAATTTACCCCCATTTTATGAGTGAGGCAAAGGGAAGTGAAGTAACTTGCTTGCATAATAAACAAATAAATAAAAGCAATAGTGCTGGGGCTTCCCTGGAGGTCCAGTGGTTAAGACTTTGCCTTCCAGTGCAGGGGGTGAGGGTTTGATCCCTGGTCGGGGAGCTACGATCCCACATGCCTCGTGGCCAAAAACCCAAAACATAAAACAGAAGCAATTCTGTAACAAATTCAATAAAGACTTGAAAAATGGTCCACATCAAAAATAATCTTAAAAAAAAAATCAATAGTGCTTAAGGACACACACTAGTATACATCTGATCCGGAAGTCAAACTCATGGGGAAAACTGGGCTCTTATCCATCACACTCTACTGCCTTTCTGGCATGGAGAAGAGCCCAAGGAGACCCCTTGGCCATTGCCATGTGACAATTCCTCCTTCATATGAGTATCTGGAATTGTCACCAGGAGACCTGGTACAGAAAATTCTGGGCTGTTCCATTTCTGAGATAACCTATAGAAATCATATGATGAAAAAGGGCATGAAGTCGTTGATCTTTGACTTCTGTGGCTTGCATTGAGTCAGGAAGATGTTTGCATGCCTGCTGTCAGGTTCTATCTCTCCTAGAGAATAGAGAATCCCTCTTCACTGGTTGTCCCAAATGAGAAAGGAAAAGTTCTAATCGGGCATTTTGGTAGAGGCATCTTCAAAAATGGCTTCCCTTGGGGCTTCCCTGGTGGCGCAGTGGTTGAGAGTCCGCCTGCCGATGCAGGGGACACGAGTTCGTGCCCTGGTCCGGGAAGATCCCACATGCCGCGGAGCGGCTGGGCCCGTGAGCCATGGCCGCCGAGCCTGCGCGTAAGGAGCCTGTGCTCCACAACGGGAGAGGCCACAACAGTGAGAAGCCCGCGTACCGCAAAAAAAAAAAAAAAAAAAAAAAAAAAAAAAAAATGGCTTCCCTTGAGGGTAGGCAGGACCTGGTGACCCACTTCTAACAAATAGAATGCAGAAAAAATGATGATTGCTATTCTAGAGATCAGGTTAAATGATGATTGCTATTCTAGAGATCAGGTTAAATGATGATTGTTATTCTAGAGATCAGGTTATAAAAGCGATTTCCATCTTGCTCACCCTCTCCTGATCTCTTCTTACTCACTCACTCTGATGAAGGCACCTGTGTGCTGTGAGCTGCCCAATGGAGAGTCCCACGTGGCAAGAATTGAGGGTGGCCTCCAGGCAATGGCCAGGAAGGAGCTAAGGCCCTCATGCTAACAGTCTGTGAGGAACTAAATCCTGCCACTAATCAAATAGTCATACAAACAAACAAAAAGGCAATGCAAAAGAGGAGAGATTCACAGGGGCACCAGGAATTATCAAGGTTGTTTTTTTCCCTTGTACGAGAAGTCAGGGAGGGCTTCCCCGAGGAAGTGGCATTTGAGCTGAGAAAGGAAGGATGCCTAGACGGGTCTAGGCAACAAAGAGAGGAAAGAGCACTTCTGACATGGGAAATAGCAGGTGCAAAGACCTCATGGCAGGAGGGAGCCTGGCAAGAATGAGACTGAGAGAAAGCAAACGTGTGCCCTGGGACTTGCAGAGGGGAGTTTGGTGGGAGATGAGTCTGAAAGAGGGACATAGGGCCGCATGCAGGACCTCATGGATCTTTATCTGAAGCACAACAAGGAGCCACTGAAAGGTTTTAAATAGGTTTCCTACCACAGAAGCCAGAACCAGTCTGACCATAGCAAGCCTGGGACTTGTAAATATGTTTGCACAGTGGATTTTCCAAGGAGGGTGTTGGAGGTCGGAAGGAACGAAAAGTACCCACCAAACTGAGAAGGTTTCTGGAGAATAAAAAACGAGGCAGGCAGCTCCATATAATCAATAGATCAGTTTATTCTAGGGTAACTTACAGGGTAGGAACTGGTGGACAGCAATCCACCCAGTGCATTTGCAGCTGCACTCTGAACTTTCAAGGGGCCACTGGGACAACTTTATAGTTAACCTAGGGTATGGGGGCACATGCTTGGAAACAGGAAGTGTATTCCTAAGTCAAGATTTATGAATGGGTAACTAGTTCTGTAGGTACTAGGAGTACGTCAGCAAAGGTCTTCATCATCATTTGGAGGCTAACGGAGCATAGAGGCCACCTGGGCCTAAAGATCATTAAACAATATCTATTAACTACAAAGCCCTTGATGACAGAGAAAAGATTTACTATGCAGAACAGGCATAGGTAGGGTCAGTGGAAGGACAGCAGGAACTGTAGGGACCCAAGATGGCATCAGTTATGCTAACAGCCATACAGAGGGGTTCAGACTGATTTGGTAACCATGGAGATGATCATGTGGACACTAACAATTATGATAATGAAACTACAGACCTGGGAAACTGGGCACTATAAATAGAATTGTTTCTGGGTGAGCTTTAAGTATGCTGGCTGATGAAAGGTGCTGGAATCCACATTATGTCAACACAAAGGGTCTGATGATGGAAAAGGTGACCTACCCTGTGCATGAATGAACGCAGGGACTGTGGAACTGAGGGTTGGTGTCAGTCGTAGCAACCCTCAGATCCAAGGGCCTTTCTTCAATATTTCAAACAGGGTCTCAGTGATGGGGGAAGGAAAATGCACACATGAAGTGTATGCAATCCACCAGGTACCCTCATGAGCAATATCTTATTTAATTTTAATAAGCTATTGCTAAAGTAAAACTAATTATCTTCTTTCTGAAGATGATGGATCTGAAACTCAGAGAAATAATGTTTGTTGCTGCATCACACAGTGTGACAGGCACTTCAGGCTGCCTCCACTATGTGTGAGAGTGAACACATATACATTAAAAAAAAAATCTGGGAAGAAACGTTATACAATAGTTGATGGGGGGGCGTGGATTGATGACAGGGATAGGGGTTCTTCAATTTTTCTTGTGGACAAAACTGTGTATTGTAAGAATCTGTTATAGCCTGTATTAGGTTTGCAAATAAAATAAACAGTAAAAGTTTATTTGCTCATCACTCCCAGTTCGGCTTGGGTTCTGTCTCCTTTGAAAAACTCCGCAGCCTGATTATCCCCACCACCGTCTCTGACTCTCAATTATTATTATTATTTTTCTTTAAGATGGGCTTTCATCATTTAACTTTATTCCTCCTGAATGCACTCAATAAACACTAGCGTAAGCCCCTACTGGGGGGCAATTCAGGAGCCCAGGGACGAGGAGTTCCAAGAAGAGAACGCCTGGGGGTGCGGCTTCCCGGGATCCATAAAGACTTCTGAGGAGAGCAGATTCCGAAAAAGTTTTTCCTCGAGAAGCACCGAAGCTTTCCGAAAATAGCCGAAGAGCTGGGATCCAGGGGCCAACAAAGCCGACCGCGAGAGTCACCAAGGGCTTCCGGAAAGAGCCGAGGAGTGGAAAGAGCGGGTTACCGAGAGTTTACGGAGATAGA